AAAAAGAAGTGGACTGTTTCATTGCAGTTAAGAACATCGAATGACTGGCTAGACTATGTGACCATAAGGTGCTTTTATTTCTTAGAAATAATGGGGGTTTTTCAAAACACAGCCATGTGCCTAATTTAGGGCCCCATGCTTCATGTAAGGCCATATTCATTCTGTTGGTTGTTGTGAAACATAATCTTAATTTCATTAAAGTAATGGTGATTATTATTTTTGTCTTTGACAGCACAAGAACTTTTTTTCCCCCATATATATATATATATATATTTATTCCCCCATATATATTTTTTCTCCTATATATATGAGGACAATTGACTTTTTAAAATAGTGGTGATGAAATTATTGTTCTGCAAATGGCTTTTGTTAAGTAGCAATAAGTTTAGGCCAATAGAAAATAGGCAGCTCTCCCACACTTTTTTCTTTGCAACATACTAGTCAAACTTCTGTCTACCGTATGTCTCTATGAATATGTGTCTCCAAAGAGCAAAATTTAGTAGTTCTGTATCCTGCTATTGGTGGAAAGACATCTTATTTTAACCCATCTGCTCCATTACACAAACTTGTTTTCTTTTGAAATGACTTTCTATATTTTCAGAGTAATTTTAGTAAGGAAATCAAGTTCAATTTATTGAGGATTTCCCAGGCACTGAAAGGTAGAAAATGTGGGTATCTGTAGACATGAAATAAATGATGGATCATTAACTTAAAGTCAAAACTGGAGGTTGTTCTTTCAAGAATATACAGCCTCATACCACAAGGGGATAGAGTGATGGCTGTCCACATAGGGGGACCTGCAGTCACCACAAAAACGACTTCCAGGGAATTGATTTTTGTCCTGGAAACACCTTGTTACTGAAGGAAATATAGTCCTTGGGAGAAGGGCAGCTCACTAATCTGTCAGGTCTGGCAAAATGTCTCCAACAGAGCAGGTGCCCAGTTCTTAGTAAGTAAACATATTATTAGCAGGTGGGTGATAAGATAGTTGTTATCTTGGGGAGCAGGAAGGAGGCAATGGAGATATTGCCTCTTCTGAGAAGCCTGTCTTCATTACCCAAGGTTAAGTGAGATGCCTTACATGGGTCTCCCCAGCACCGCAGGTCTACCCACTACATTACCTATCTCTGTTTGGGTCCCCCATCAGAGCATGAATTCTTTTGGGGGTTCACCTTTAAACTCCACAGGCTGTGCACCAGTCTATTGTCTGGTGCTTACTGAGTGGTGTCAGACGTATGTGTTAGAGAAAAAATCAGAGGAGAAAATTCTGACTGGTTTTGGGAGGGTGAGGAGGTGGGTTGGGTGTGGCCCAAGAAATTGCTCCAGTTTTGACTTAAGGGCTCCTGAAGACAAGGAAGGGAAGAAAAGGATTCTGAGGATAAGGCCATGCTTTGCCAAAATGTCATGATTTTTTCCCAGAGTCTGAGAATAAGCTATTTTATTAAAATAAATTTTCATAACTCTTATTTTTATAACTCTTATTATAGTACTGTACATCAACTTGACCTCAATAAAAATAAACTTTTTATGGTAAAGTACTCAAGTAGGGGTTCATACATTAATCAATAGCTCATTGTTGCTTACTCTGCAATTCCTTTGTCTTTAGTCTGTGGTTCAAACTTTCCATAATCTGGTCTCCATCAAACCTTCCACCTACTCAACAGAGCACCGGGCAAAGAATGGTGTGCCCTATCCTTTCATTCCTTTCTCAGTCTGAAAAACCTGCACTTAACCATTCCTCATCCCCCAAACTCTCCATATTTACTGTTCCTTGAGGGCCCAGTTCCAAGATCACTTTCTCCACAGACTCTGCCCCCCAGCTTAAAGCAATCTCTCCTTTTCATCTGACTTGTCTCTTGAGCCCCTATGATACCTACCACTTTCTTCCCAGGGAATATTCTGCTTTATTTCTCCCTCTGGTCTGTAAGTTCCTTAGGAGCAAATTGTCCACCTTTTAATCTTGCACTTCCCTCTAGCCCCTGGCAGAGTGACTCCTACATTGGAGCTATGTACAATAATGAGTTGAACATGTGCAGGAAAATAATCTATGTTTAGGCAATCATTACTCAGTTCTTCCTAGGATATGGGGTGGCATATATAATCAATCTTTCCACTGATTCGCTTTAGTGGAAACAAACCAGGCCTCATGCAAGTAGCTGACCTCACACAACACCCAGAGAATTCCCTGGGAAGAGTTACAATTAATGACTAGTCACATGGGAAAGAACAATAATGGGACTAGCTCAAGGGCTAGCCATGTTTCTAAAATTGTGAAAAGGAATGCTTAAATGCAGGGTGGTGTTTCCTGAAGGCTAGCTAGTCCACAGCTGTCGTTGCAACATCTTTGTCTTTATTACACTTGTTTAAGTTGTACAACATGGATGTGACATAAATCATAATTATTATTTTTTCAATGGGAAGGTAGAGGTGCTTGAGAGTTTGAAGAAGTCATTCATGGCTTGTGCCAGCTCTGAGATTACTGGACAGGCTGTGAATCTTCTCAATGGATTCACAGAAGTAGGTTTAAACCAGGCCTGGCTTGCCAAGGGAGGCAGCTGCTACAGGGTGTGATAGCTACACAGAGACCTCCTGTATCAAAGTATCCTTTGTATGAATGCCTGAGAAGGGTTGCTTTGTGTTTTGAAAATTAAAAAAAAATCTTTTAGAGGTTCCTATTCCAGGTGATGAGTGCTAGCTTAACCGCCCTATAAGTGTCTCTATGGAAGAAAGGTTTCCCTGATCAAGAAGTCTCGGAACTGCTGCATCTGCCCTCCATCTTTACAAAGGACTATATGCTTCAGTGCTTAGTGGCATATGGAAGGCTCCAACAAGTCACATAGTAAGGAAACCTATTTAACTTAACTCAGAAACTCCCCTACTTATTTAACTATGAAATCAATCTTGCTTTCTTTTTCCTCCAGCTTGCTGCAAAATTCCTAGTGGCAACATGTGAAACTAGTCTCTCATAGAACACACATTGCTAAATGTGTTTAGTTGCTATTAGCTATCACTATAATGGGGCTAATTTTCAGCTAAGTATGGGGCACAAAGGGATATGCGTGAAGGGCTGGGAAAGTCAAGAGAAGGGTAAGAAATGTCAAAGGTGACCCATTAGGGTCCTCAAACAAAATTTCACAGTCCTGCAAAGGACCAGTCATGGTTCTTGTTGCAGACATGATTTTAACTTTTCTTGCCTGGACAGCACAATTGGTATCATCAGATTGGAATTGATGTTTTGCATCTTCATGTGGTCTTGAACTGTTTGGTGTGGGGGAGGGAAAGGGCATGCCTGAACAGCCACATTTGCTTAGATGGATGTGGGAAGAGGACAGAAAGGAACAGAGTAAGGAAGAAATGTGGCACGTGGGGCAGCAGGAAGGCAGAAGCTGCCCTGGCAATAGGAAGCTAGGACAGGATGGAGTAAAGAGAGAAAGTAAAGGGTCAAGATAGATCAGGTAGAAGCTAACAAACCTACTACCCAGCCAGGAGAACAAAGCTAGGAACTAGGGAGCTGCCTGGAGGAGGGATCAAATTATGAAGTTTGTGAGTCCCCCAAAGCTTTGGCTTCTCAAAGCCAATCACCAGTGAAATTTGAAGTGGTCAGAAGATGTGGAATAAGAATAACAGCTGGGCCAGGTGCCCTGCTTTAAGGTGTGACTTGCTCCTTCTATCCCCAGGGTGACAGGACACTTATTTCTCCTGGGCTTCTCACTGACCAAGAATCTGCATTTTCCCAAGTTGCTGGCAGGGTTCTGGGCTGCACCTGGGCACATTGTGAGATCCTAATCATGGCCTGCTGCTTTAGGAAAAACGACAGAGTTAACGGAAAGCACAGGGATAGCAGCAGAGCAAGGCCCCAGTGCTGTGCAGAAGCCAAGTGGGCGGAGAAGGGGCTTCCTCTTACCAAGGACTCTCAGATGTTCCGCATCTTGCATGCAAAGCAACTAGGAGGAGAGCTCTGGCAAGCTAAGGCAACTTAGAAATACTGGAAGCTGCAAACAAGATATGCAACACATTTGGGAGTTTCTCTCATGTTGAAGGATACAGTTAACTGATTCCCCTTCTAGGATACCTTTAGATTTCTTGCCAAAAGCAGTTATAAATCATGTAAAAATTCCATATATTTTCATGACTTTGAAGTGTTTATTATTAAGAGGATGGGGGTATGTGCGGGGTGAGGTGGGGGGTAGGGCAACAGGACAACTCGGTTCCTTACAAGAATGCACACTTTTCAAATTGTTGCTCCACAGTGAACTTATTTCGGAGAAGTGGTTCTGACTGGCCAAGGTTATTCTCTGGGACAGTGCCTGGAATTTATTAGTAAATACATTTTAAAACAAAAGTCTGCCAGACTTCATTTACTCAGGGGAAATGATTAAAATGATCTGCCCAATCTCACAGAGCGTGGATCCAAATATATACAATCCTGCTGGCTGGAATAGGAGGTCCCAACATCTCAAAGTAATGCTTTTGGATGAGTCAACTGGGACCGTGGGAGCTGAGGACAGGAGCCTACAACCCTCTGCATCAGAAGTAGCAGGTTCTGCATCTAGGAGTTACTTCAGATGGCTTGTTCCTTTGTACAAATCAGAGCATCAGCAGAATGTATGCCCCTCCCCGCCGAAACTAAGGACGTATTAAAAGAAGACTGTTGGTTGTGTTTTTAAATGTTGTGAGCATGTGGAAGAAATTATGCTGTCACAGTAGGTCTGTGTTTGTGTTTGTGTTGCTGACACCATTTCTCGGAGTGCGTTACACAGCTGAGATGGTTTGGATCGTTTGAATGGAATAACATGATTACCCATGGTATTGCACGTCTCCGATTCCAAATAAACACGATGGCAAAAACTAGACAAAAAATGTGGAAATAATAATAAATCACACAATGTCACTGAAGTCATGCAAAGAAGAAAAAAAGATTTAAAAAAATGGGCAAGCAACAGACATCAAAAATGAAAAAAAAAAAAAGCCAATGCATACAATTCTAAAATCATTCTTACCTTCTTCAGTCATTGTGTCATAATATTTTAGTTTTCCATATGATCCAAGTTCTACAACATCACAGTAAAAGACACAAAGATAAGGAACGAGCTGTAATGCAAGAACTTTGTTTTTACACATTCTTAATTAATCAGATTCAGAGTTATACTGTCAAATTCCACAATCGTAACTATATAGAGATGTGCAAACATGGGCCATGTGGCAGACAGCTTTCACGGCCCATTTGCAGAAATCACTTAAAATATATTATTTCACTGGGGGTAGGATGTGCCCTGCATTACAGAATAGGACACAGTTATTTTAACATCTGACGAAACAGAATACTTGGCAAAGATAACTTCTCACCAGGTCTAGCCTAGCCCTGTGATTTTTTTTTTATAGAGGTGACACTCCAGAGAAAGGGCTGGCCAAGGACAATGCCCAGACTCAGGGAGGCTTGTGCAATGGGATTCCTTGTCATGGAGCTGTAGTTCCAGTTCACTCCACAGCTCTTCTCCAACAGAACCACTTTCCTAGAGATGAAGGAAGGCTACCTAGGAAAACCAGAAATGAAAAAAACCAGGTTCTAAACTTCTCTTTCACTTCTTATCTTTTATTAATTAATTAATACCATGGGTGCAGCATGCTTGGAAGAGCTGTGAAAGGTGCAGCTTTCTCTGGGAGGAAAAGGGAGGCATAATTCCAGGGGAGACTGCCTGGTGCAGACAGGTGACAGAGTAGCCGCAGTACCCAGATCGAGGCATCCTCTGCTGCTGTGTAGAAGGCAGAGGACAGGGGTGTTCAGCAGCCCCCCTCTGTGTGCAGACCACCCAAGGACTCAGCTGGAAGGAAAACCACTGGCAGGAAGCGAGCTGTTCTGAGTCAGCTGGTGAGAGTGGCAGCTCGGGTTGAGTGAGAGAAGAGGTGGGGATGTACCATTTCTGTTTTTCTTACTTCACTTCTAAAATAGGAACTTTTATTCTTGTTCATATGAGAATTCCAGATTGTTTTCAGCAATATTGTGAGGAGGCTAAAAATATTTTTCCGTGGTCATAACAATGCTCTCCCAATAAACTTTAAGAAATCAATTAGACTTAAGAGAGATTCCTGGGATTCTGCAGAATGATTCCAGGGCCCATTAACATGGGCAGTCACCAGAAATTCACACATGACTCAACTAGTAATTGATGGGTTTTTAGTGCAGAATGAAGGATCTAGCTTAAAAGACATTATTCTTCTGTTTTATATTTGTATTACATGCCCTCTCTCTCTCTCTCTCTCCATATATATATATATTCCTTCCATACACCTAAAATTTTACCATAAGCTATTTTAACACATTGATACAAAATTATGTCTTGAGGAGAAAAATCACCCCATTGTTATGCTCTCTGCAAAAACCTGCCTATTCTGGATTTTGTTAGGTACGTGATAAAGGATGCAAGGGCTTCCATGAGAAATTTGAATTTTGTGTAACAAGAAAATAATTGTATGACTTCCAAGGATTACCTTTAGTGGAAAATAATTTTTTTCTGGTATTATAAGAACAGTGGTCTCATGTGTATATATATATGATGCTGCACAAGTTTGGAATTCTTAAAGAACTGAAATACCTTTATAAATATTAAATACTCTTTACATACATAATATATGCATTTGTGTATGTGTATGACCTTGCAATACACTGATGAATTTTATTAGTCAACTAATTTTTTTGTAACCTCTATTTCTTACCTGGGGTAAGACAGTAGAAAAATCAGCTGGCGTTCTCTATTATTTACTCAAGAATCAGAACACAGGAAGCTCTGTGTTTGCAAAGTTGGGTAAAACCAAATTCTACACAGTGAAGACATACCATTACATTTTTATGGATGTCTTTTTTAGAGGCAACCTCTCTGTGTATACACACCTGCTTTCACATATCCATCCCAACTGTCAAACATCTGCTGGTGGCAGATGTGACTATTCTTTTCCTGATCTTTTGTGGAAACAGGTATGAAGAAATAAAATCATACTCCTTAATTATCCTTCTTTTACATAGTGGAATTGAAACTATTCATGTCAAAACTCACACATTCCTGCTGCTGTGGCAATGCCTAGGCTGCTTCTTAGCTGCTTCTGTGGATGATGAAAAGGACAGAGAGACAAGAACTGGACAGAACACACCAATAATGAGGCTAAATTCAAGATGGTGGAAGAGAAGGAATAGAGCAGCGGAAGGTGAATAATAATAGATGCTGTGGCAACTTAAAGCAGAGAGAGGGGAGAGAGGGAGGAAACACTATTTGCCTGGTGACATGAAGGGAACCATGTTTGTGGTAGACTAAAGGCAAAACAGAAAAGGATTAGAGAGAAATCTGCCTGCTAGGGTATAGTTTTTAACACGGATAGCACAGGCGGTGAGATAGTAAACTCCGCACTCCAGTGCTGTGAGGTGGTCAGCTCAGCATCTGGGGCAGAATCTCTAAGAGTCAGCTGCTCTATTCCCTAAGCTGGGCTTCAGAAGGTGCAGAAGGGGTCTGACATGACACCAAAACAAACGCAACACACACATGTAAGCCAGAGCACATCACGCACCTTACTGGCGTCCTACAGACCAGGGACACCTGATGGAAAGTAGCCGTGGCCACTGTGGCCTGAGAGGGTGTCAGAGGCATGAGTGAAAACTCACCTGCATGGGGATGTGGCCTCCAGTGAGCACACTCCCATAGAGTGGCTAGCATCCCAAGGCTTGGCTAGCATCATTGGGTTAGGACTCAAATTGTGCCTAGTCCAGGTGGAGTTTCTTTGGCATAGGAAGGAGGGAGTGAGGGAGTTCAAGTGAGTGCTGTTTCACACTATCCAGAAGTGTCATTATGTCAACTGAGCAAGATGCAGCCAGATGGGAAGAGAGATGAATCACCAGGGAATACCATCGAGGATCCCACTTGGTGTCTTTTCTCTGTAATGTTTCTCTAAGACGTCTACATAGCTTAAGAAAAAAACTCCAGATCCCAGTGCTTGGTGTGAGATGAGCCTGTAAACCCATCATGAATGCTGCCCTTTGGGGGGGCCACACTTGCTCTTGTGCCACCTGCATGGCTGGGGCTACACACACCCAAGGACCCAGATCTCTAGGCAGGGTTGAACCTTTCATCATTATTCTCTCAACATCCATCAGGTCTTGTCAACAACACCCCTATCTGACAGGTCAAGGGGAGGGTCATGTTTTCCATCTCAAAGAATCTGTGGATAAGAACTAGTATTTTGAGCTCCTCATTTCTTCCTTTCTTAAGAAGGGCCTGGACACAGACCTCTTCTTCCAACAGCAACTTTCTCAGTTTTACTTTTGAGGCCTTTGGCACTCTCAACTCCCTTTTTAGCTAATCTCCCCAGATAGAAGCATCAGGAAAATTATTTATCACATTTCAGGCCTCAAAATTCTGATGTATAAAACAGAAAATCAATGGAAGCATCTGTGCTGAGTTCATTTTCTTAGAAGGAAAAATAGAGGTAGGGAAATCAATGAAAACAAGCATTTATCACTTAAGTGTTGGCTTCTGGAAAAATATGATTACATTGCTTATTTTTTTTTTTAAACAAAGAACTGCTTTATTTTTGGTAATGGTTTGAACTACATGTGAATACCTAAAAATTAGGGCTTTATCAATACAGGTAGTTTCCTGGTAGGCTACCTATTACCTATCAAAGAGGTGTGTGTGGAGACTAGATTACATCATGCTCGTGGAAGGACTGTTTTCAGTAGGAATGGAAGTTAAGAACATGGACTTTGGAGTCAAGGGTATAGGTGTGAACCCAAGATCAGCAATTTATTAGTTGTGTGACTTTGAGCAAATTGTTCACCTTTCTGAGACTTGGTGTTCTCCACTGTAAAGGAGCATAATTGTGTCAGTCTCAGAATGCAGTGGTATAGAGTAGATGAGATAATGACACCCATGAAGCAATCAATAATGGGCACTTTCACCAACAAAGCACACTAAAGAAGAGTGAAAGATGGCTTTTTAAGATTTCTTCTTCTTTAAGAGATTATGGTGATAGTTCATGGGTGTCTTGGTGGTGGTAATTTTATGGGATTGCACCTGAGAGGAGAAATCAAACTTGGACAAAAATGAACACTTATGTAAAAATATATAAATAAATTTTTTAAAAAGGGAGAAGAGTGATGAAGAATCCATGGGACATGGGGCAGAGCATTTAGAGAACCTGATATTTTACATAGGTCTGCTAAAACAAATGCAACATTATGTAGAGAGGATTTAGATAGATATTTGTTGTTGAACAACAGATATTCTCCTATGTCGGGGACAGTGTTTAAAAGAAATCATTTAATCAGTCCTGCTCTTCTACTTTCAGATCTGTGGGGAATATCAGAACATGGACCACGACCATGTGAGCAAGATGTGGAAGCAGACTCAGGCAGCCACTGTGTTCCAGCAGGGGATGTGGGCATGTTCCCTTCCAACATCTGCACCAAGCTTGCCCCTTCAACTAGGCTGTCCATATGTCAGAGGCAGATGTCTACCTAGCCGTCTTTAGATTCTTCCTAACAGAATCTAGAACAGTGCTTTTCTCATATCAGGCACTCTCCTTACATTTCCTAAATAAATTATGCAAATGTATGACTTCCAGATGACTGAGTTTAAAATGTTTTAGTTTGTCGAACTTCCCTGGACTTGCTGAAGTCAGGGAGGCAGGCTCTGTTGCCGAAATTTCTCCACTGTTGGTATTTTAAAATCACTGCTAAGGTTCAGAGTGTTTCTGTGTGAGACAGACAAGGCAGCTAATTCAAAACTTGGCTCAACTACCTATGAACTGTGTGATCCTTCCTAAGCCTCCATCTCTTCTTCTGTCAACTGAGAAAAAGAGCAATAAGTACCTATTCTCAGGTGGGTTTTCAGAAAATTAGATGAGAGTCTATATACAAAGCACTATATTGGGGTGTCATGGACATTCTTAATAACTGGTACCCATTATCTCTGCCAAAAGTCCAACGGGAACATCTAGCTCATCAGCCCAGCAAGAGGTAGTTAAATTCCATTCAAACTGTGTGTGGGCACCAATGTCAATGTCT